TCTGGTGATTGTAAACTAGTGTGAACTTCATGTAAATGGGACTGTGAGTGAGACTCATCAAATTTGCTCTGTTTTGATTAGTCCTAAGCACCACACTTTTTTCGTTCCTTTGGCATGTAGTGTAACACTCAAATGGTGGAACAATACAGGTTAAATTTCTTACTATCTAGAATACTGGTTTAATGCAGTATATTCACTGCAAAATATTTTTTGAAGTTACAAAATTCAAAAATAAAATAATTATTTAGAAAATAAAAAATTGAAACTGAAAACTTTATCATTTAAAAAAATCGAAAATATGTAATAATTACAAAAATAATCCTATCACTAAAGGCATTCCATTCTAACTTTTCATTATGCATCAATGTCCTTTAATGACCTTTCAGTTGTCCAATTCTCTGATTCTGTCGGATGATTATCATTCCTAACATCTGCGACTTTCGAGTTATTTATCTCAGATTTTTTTCTTTAGTGGTAGCTGATGATGCCAATTTTATGCTATTATACTATTCAAAGGTGGACCAAAGTCAAGTGTTACTTGAATTTCATGTTGTGTGATTCGGGTCCTTACCAGTGACGTCTTAGTGATAGTGTTAGGATTAACTGCAAGTCTTCAAATGTTACCAATTCCTAGAAATCACTGAGGTTGATTCTTTTGTCATTGGTTCGAACCAATTTCTATTGAAGATTTAGATGTGCTTATGAACTGATTTAAAATCTGTTATGGAAAGAAGTTGAGGATTTGTTTGTTGTTTGAAGCTCAAACCAGTGCTGTTGAGTAATTGTAATGTTTGAGCTACTCTTCTTTTCACTGACCTAATCAAATGCTGTAATAGGGCTTCGAGTGCAACTTCAGTTACTGAAGCTGGAGTCTGAGGCATATGAAGAGGGGCCAATGCTTATTTCAAGTGATGAAGATGGTGTGGAGGAACCTATTGAATTGGCTGATGAGAAGATGATACCAAAAGCTGAAGAGAACTGGGAATCTTTGTACTTAGCTGATCTCTTAACTGACTCTGGACTTAAGGATGCCGATGCTGACACTTTCATGGCGAGATGCCACTCTCCAGAATGCCCAGTGAGTCTCTCGGTATTCGAAGGACTTGAAAAGAAATATTGTAATCTGCAATCATGGTCAAGGTCAGAGAGGAGGTTACTCTTCGACTGCATAAATAAAAAGCTTCTGGAGATTTTTGAGCATTTAACAGATCCACACCCATGGGTGAGACCTGCAAGGAGGGTAGTTCCTACTAAGGATAACAAAAATGGATTGGCGGAAACCCTGCAGGAGCTGCTCATTTGCCAAGACAAGAAAGCTGGTACAGATGCGGGGGAGATGACTCTGAGCAGGGACTCACAGTGGTTAGATATGGGAGTTGATATTGATATAATTGGTAGAGAAATTGAGAGATTGTTGACGGATGAATTGGTTGCCGAGGCAATAATAGTAATGTAGAGATTTTCAATACAAAAACTTTTTTCTAGTCAAGTCTATACAAACAAATCGATGTAATGATCATTTCATAAAATGGTTAATAAAAGAATCAAAAATCTTGACACAGAAGAAACACACCTACTATAGATTCTCCATTTCCTTATATTTTGAAAAGCGGATATAACAATAGCAAACGTGAACGTGCATTTTATTCTATTTACGTTTATCGTAATCAATTTTTTGCATACATCAGAATGAGTTGTGAAAAGGTGTGCAATTTATCTTTCTTCCCAAGACGCTTTACTTCCAGAACTGATTGTGGGGAGGTTATGGAAGTTATAGAATTAGATATATGGTGTATATACATATATATCATGGTGGCGAGCTAATTTTGATGGGTTAGAGAGGGGATTTGTATGAAGTTGATTAAAAATTTCTCAGTACAAAGATCTACTAACAGACAATAAATGGAGAAACACTTGGTGCTGGAAATCAAAAATCTTTGCTAGCAGTATGCAACCAGTTCATCTTAATCAACATTACTGAACTTAGGCATACCTTAACCATACCCATATGATCATGCATATAGAAACACAGAATATTTTAAAACATAATTGCTGTGAAACAAAACTCAAACCTCTGAGGCCACTGCGTGTGCTATGAGTTTGCTAGAATTTTATTTCTTTATTTTTTTTTTGGTTAGTCCAAGGGTTTATGGCAATTCAAGAACAGGTGATTTTGAGTTTTTTAAATTTATACAATTTAAAATAAGAAATCAAGCATCCAATAGCAAATTAATTAAGTTAAAATTCATTTAAATATATATATATATTTTATTGAAAAGCACATATAGAAGGTATACTTAATGTCTTAAAAAATTTCTCTTTCTAAAAATAAATATTTAAGAATAAACTCTTAATATATTTTACATTTGACCAAAAAAGAAATTGATGATAAAGGCTGCTGATTTTTCAATAATTGTTAAATTTAAGAGCAAGTTGTTGAATGATATTTAAATTCCTCAAAAAGGAAGTCAGTCGTTGAAAGTATTAAATGTTAATCCAATGTTGAAAAATATGAAATATGAGGTTCTCTCCGGTTAACTTATATATGCTGCAGATTTGGCTTTGTATTTTTTTTTTTTTAAAAAAATTGTTTCAATAATTTTTCTTTGATTTTAATGAATTTAAAAAATTGTTTTAAGTAATTTTCAATACATAAATGTTAAATATTCATTTTATGTGTTTATCACTAATGTTGAGACAAACTAAAATATGGGAGAGAATTCATAACACAATGCTATTCAGAAGAAGTGCCACCCATAATCCACTTGCTCTTTGTTAAATTTATGTGTTGAGAATTATTGAAATCAAATTTTAAAGTTCAATAAAAAATTGAATGACTTTTTTTTTTAAGAAAACATAAAATTAAATACTATTTTAAAATTTTTAAGATATAAAATAATATATTAATTCTAAAAATACTTTAATTGTGTTTTTGCTTATAGAATGTGTTACTATAGTTTCTTATGTACTATTCGTTAATTAAAAAATGAAAAATGTGATGTATTCTAATAGATGTATTCGCAAATGAAATTCTATTTCCACTTACCTATTCATTTTATGTGTTTATCACTAATGTTGAGACAAACTAAAATATGGGAGAGAATTCATAACACAATGCTATTCAGAAGAAGTGCCACCCATAATC